ACGTACGTTATCCGAATATATTTTTAAATCCGTACCGGATTTAAAAATATATTCGGACAACGTACGTAACTCACGTGTATAAAAATGATAAAATTTCAAACCGGTCAACAGTTAGTATGCAAAATCCAATAAATATAAATGCTGAATAACCCAGTTATTCAAGCACGAAGTACTTATAACTACAGTACAATAGAGTTCTAATTCTAGTAAAGCGCTATCGCACTTTACTAGTATTAGAACACTATTGTACCTTACTGTTATTTGCAATATAATTTGACTGGTCAAATTTTAAGCACCTTCGGTGCTTAAATTGACCAATCAAATAGCTTACAGCAAATAACTCAGTTATTGGGCACTTCGTGCCCAATAACTATTACTTATATGCTGCAGCTTGTGTATCTGTACTTTGAGAGGTTACCCTGGTCGACTCTTTGTTTTGAAGCTTATAAATATATGTAATTTGATGAACATATCTTGGTTTAATTAGTTTGTTCTTGAAGTATTTCAGGTAAATATTAGTTCGTCCTTTAATTTATTTTTATCTTGTTAAGTTATTCATGGAATATACTATTTTAAGACTTACATATTTATCTCTATTAAGAGCAGCTCTATTGCCGTTAGTCCATTGTTCTATTAGAAATGATTTATAAATAGGGCCAATGAAAATAATTACCTAACGAAATAAATAAAATGAATGAAGTGAATAGATCTCTTTCATTGGTTCTGTTTATTTCATTAATAAAAATTTGATATGAATAACTTCTATTACCAACCATGTAGCTAGACGTTCTTTTCGATTGGCGTTCTTCACTTTATCTCTGATTGTTCAGATGTGAGTTAGAGATATACTGCATATAACGCTATACGTATTTTATGCATATATATAGTTGCCATCCAACCTAACTAGTTTGGAACTTTGGATTTTTTAAGATATTAATAATTAGTTTAAGCTGTGAAACTTGTCCTGAACTTACTGTATGAAATGGAATTTTTTGATAATTCTTTGTCAGATTTAGTTAAATATATAATATCAAGAATTCTATATAAATGTATAACTTTTGAGACATTTAATTGTATTTAATTTTATGATGCCTTCTCATGTTGCCCTTATTGTAGTAATTACTGATGTAAAAAGTAGTCAACTATGTTCACATGGCCTCGCTAAATACAAACCATCTAATGAAATATCTTATATAATTTGATGGAAATATTTTGTTCCTCTAAACGAATAGCCTCAAATAATCACAACTGGTAACATCACATTTTTTCAGGAAAATACGTAGTCAAAAATTCTGACCAATGTCTTACCGTTGCATATGCGAACATTCTTGATGCTGGAAATTCAAGTCATGAATTAAATAATGTCAACATTCCTCTATGTATTCCCCACTGTATGCTTTCTGCATTCGTTACTCATACCCCCCAAAAAGTTAATGATTTCATCCATTTTGATATGGAATGTTTTGAATATAATGCCATTACCAGTACGTCTAATGTCAAAATGAAGATGACTGTTCTTTACCCTTTTCATTCGATAAGATTTCAAAAATATTTAGGCCCTTCAGGGTCAAACATTAAATTAGATAATGCTTATTTGATTTCTGGGTTTGTCAAATTTTCAGCTTCCGGTAAGCTAATGATAGAGGCAACCGAAATAGAATATCTAAAGACAAATGTGAATTCGAATATGTTTGAAAGTTCCTCTTCGATAAGTACCCAATCAATTGTCAACATTATTGCTGATAATATTGAATCTGCTCAAAAACAAGATCATGTGACTTCGTCATTTAACAATAAATCATCAGAAATTCCGATAGTGATTATTGATAATGATACAGAAAGTAATCTGAATAACAAAGAAAAACAATCCAATCTCAAAGATAGTAACAAAGTTACTAACTTGGATGAAGACGAAAATATGCATAATAAAGAAAGCGAAGAAAATCATCAATCAAAACAAAAAAAAGAAGCATTAAAATGGTCACAAGGAAAAAAAAAAAAAAAACTAAAATTAACTATTGAAATTTAAAAATAAATTTTAATAGGTTAGTAAATTACAAGCATCTTGCATTTTATTTATCAACCAAAATACTTCAAACTAAATTTCTCATAATTTTTAGTCATACAATTTCAAAAAAAAAAAAAAAAATTGAAATTGAATAAGTCAAGCCGATATATCGCTATTATAAGTACTCAAAAAAAAAAAAAACTTTTTATTCTAGGGCTGTTATTTTTTTTTTTTTTTTGCATTTATTAATTTTCGTACTAAACTATGTGCTTCTCACTGAAATGTAATGTTAAAATTTTAATACACCTTACTTTAGGTCATACCAACTTAATGAATCGGTTCTCATAACATAAAATTTTTAAAAATGACCCGGCAACCCGGCTTTTAATTTTAAAAAACTCACCAGGATAGTATACTTACATTTTTTTTGTTTGTAAATTTTGACCCGCCCGGGTTATGAGAACCGATTTATTAAGTTTGTATGGTCTCATAAAAAAATTTTTTTTTTTTTTGCTGAACCTGGAAACGCCAATCACTTGTTTTCTTTTTTCCTTACTGTTATGTTCATTCCTAGCACATTGATGTTAGAACCAACTTTAACTAACTTACTAAGATTAGGTACAAATCCCCCAACCTTAATATTGCTGGGCTCACTCCTATTTATAAGAGTATAATATTTTCATTATTTATGCTCACTAAATCGGTAAACTATCTTTTCACTGTAATAACGATAAATATATAAATGTATTACAATACACATCACTCATCCGTTTCAAGAACGTGGCAGGACCAAGCTCCAATCCCTATTTATGAAATGAATTTACTTAATATTTATTCTTGACTAAAATGATGAATTTCGTTTCTGTAATAATGGAACAAAAGATAAATATCTAGTTCGAACAAGACGACAGATTCTAGAAAAAAAAAGGATTTAACGATCAGTAGCACGCGACAAATTTTGTCGCTAAAATGTTTGAACAGTCGAATTCGGATTGGACGAAATAATTCGAATGTATTTTTTGGATAAAAAAAAAATTTAATTTTACATTCGTATAGAATCGAAATAAAAGGATTTCATGAATTTTAGATAGGTGGTTGTCGATATATCTGCGCTCAAAGTTTGGAAAAAACTTTGTGCCGAGCTTCTGTTTTGATAATTATCCAGATTTTGAGCGAAGTTATCTCGGCAATCACTTGTCTAAAATCAATGATTTTTTTATTTTAATTGTACATGCATATAGATTCAGAATCAAAAAAATTTCATAGGTGGTTATTGAGATATCTTCGCTCAAAGTTTGGATACTATCAAATAGAAGCCGCGACAAAGATTTTTCCAAAATTTGAGCGAAAATATCTTGACAACCATCTATCTAAAATCGATAAAAATGTTTATTCCGATTCTATATGCCTATATAATTAAAAAATTTTTAATAGGTGATTATCGAGATATTTTCTCTCAAATTTTGGAAAAAACTTTGCCGCAGCTTCTATTTGATAGTTATCCAAACTTTGAGCGAAGATATCTCAATAACCACCTATG